TTTACTCACGCGCACTTTCTCTCTCGAAACGATCAGTTGCAAACACAAAACGGGCGACATCGCGAATCTAATGTGCAGCTGATTAACGCGAAACGTGATTACGCAACGCAATCGTAAAAGCTACGAGATGAATCACAGCGACATTCCAATGTCCTCGTTGGTTAACTCTTAAAAATTACAATAACACTCTAAAATATGCGTTCACGTGTCGAGTAGCATATCGAAGCGTACAATACACCGCCATGTTTGTTTCGACATAACGTTCGGGAAATTTAACATCGGGAAAACTAAAAGCCTTACTCTCTCACAATCTCGACTCGAACACTTATATTATCTTCGACGAGACCGCGCGAATAGACGTTCATAACTTACATCGTCAAACGTTATCGTCGAGAAATTCCAAGGATGGTTCCACAAGAATTCCTAACAATCGATCTGTCTAACAACACGTGAACGTTCAACGTTCGATTGGAACGACGCGATGATTCGGTATTTTCTTCGCTTTTTTTACAAATCTCTCCGACTGTCACCATCGGTGTATACGCAACGTTGGTGGACGCAACTGAAAAGAAGTCGAACGCGGCTTTAAACTAAAAGCGGACGATGCTAGAGTGTCGCTAGCATCGCCTCGAAGGTACAGGTTTCTCGCATTCTAACACGACGCAAGTATACACGCCACGTTTTGCACGCTTTTGCGTTTCCTAGTTTTTTTACTTTTTTATCGTTTATTACACCTTTCTTCCTTTCTTTCTCTCCCTCTCTTTCTCTCTCTCTCTCGTTTTGTACAAGTTGGGGGGTTAGGGGTTAGGGGGGAGCGCTTATTAAACGGTAAGGGAGCAAAGAAGAGCGTTACGGGGGTGAGGGTTTTGGGGGATAAAATATACTATTTGGCAGTTCGGCATTTCGTCGGATATGAATCAGACTGTTCGCTGTTTCGAGACCCAGACGACGACGACCTTTTATCCTCGGCTGTTGGAACGCCACCGACCTTTGAGATCGCTTAGAAATATGACGGCGGCAGATATGATCTCGTTCGCGAGAGAAAAATATCCCTTCGGTTCAGTCTGAACACGACAGAATGGATAGAGGATCGGCTCTTACAGTTAGAATTAGAAATTCGAGAGAATACACAGGGTTCTCCGACCAGGTCGCGACAAGTGATAAAATCATGCGATGATCTTATAGCGGACTAACGAGCTCTAATAAATAGTCTGGATGAGAGTATAAAAATTATTACGTCTCGAACTGTAAGGCATCTTTGTCTAGTTATACCTTAAAGAGTATGGTATTTATAATATATCAGTTGATACAAATGAAAACGTCATTACTGCCGTCAAGAAATCAGAGGAACATCTAATATTGTTGTATAAATAGTAATAAACTGTGCATACAATCGACTGAAACCTTTTGTAACTTTCAAACAAGTATGTAAATTTATCTACGTCTATGTCCGTTAAATGTGTTTCGTCCATTTCGGTAAGTACCCTAAATAACTTTAAAAAATGTTTCGCAACCGCGTCTGGAACCCCATGTATTCCTCTTAGTAACCATAAAATCTTGTCAGTCGTCTAGAATAACGCTTCGTATAAAACTCGTTTACGAAATGAGGCAGTAAGAAAAAGCACTGGTAACAGGTAATACCTTAACAAGTTAAACCGAAAGATATCTTTTCTCGGACGAACGTGTACGTGTGTAAGAACGCGCACGTAACCACGCACGCGTGTGAGAATACTCTGTATACGTAATATCATTACTGGTCTCTCTTTCTCTCTCGCTCTCGCTCTCTCTCATTCTCTCTAGCTTTAGTTAACATTCGATATCTGTTATTGGCACAAAATTGTACTAGTAATATGGAAACACCTGCGGGACCACGATCGTCGACGGAGTTCCACAGCGAGGCGGATTTTAAACGCGCGTTAACAAATAATAATCTGACAATCGCCGAGGGGGTCGTCCGTGGAACTGCATCGACGTACAGTAACTCTATGTATCGTTATTTATATATCGTAAATTAACCTACGTCGTAATAGGAATGTGTACGAGAAGAACGCCGATGGAAAATATGCGGTTTCCAACGGCGAAGAAGCATTCGTTCGTTTTAAAAGAAAAAACGGGCCGCGAGCCGTGTTGCACGCGGTCAGCGGCTATTTTAACATCTTTCTTTTTCTTCGATTACGTAAAATCGTTACCTACTATAATCGAACATTATTAGATCGCTCAGTCTTTTGGTGAATTGCAGCGTCCGCGATGTCGCGACGTGTAAACGCGACTCAGGTCGGTGACGCTCGAATAATTACAGAAAGAGAGTCTCTCATCGTCGATCGCCAAGGAGGAAGGTATATTCTTGTTAATTACACGCGTATGGATATTTCTCGCGATACCATTCCTCCTTCCGAAGAATTACAATTGCGATTTTAATTGGATGGCAATACCCGTATTCACTGTCGACTTTGCTTCTTAAACGAAAGAAGCACGTCTACATCGATATCCGGGATCGTTTTTCTCGTTTCTCTCGCTCTTATAATAAAAGGATCGCAGCAGCTGGGCTTCGAATGGTTTAGAAGTTCCTTTTAGAAAACGGAAGAGAAAAATCAGTTGGACGTCCCTGAACATTCGGGGACGCGGTTGGTAAAAAAACAATATAAAAATACAGTTATGTGTGTCGAAGGACCCTCCGTTCCTTTATACAATAATAATCGCAAGTTCGCAGACTTTTAACGCTGACTATTGGATGACAATGATTTGATATTTTCCCTTTCTCTTCTTTTCCGTTTTTCCTCTTACACGCGATCGTTTCTATTGTTCCTGTTTCTTCGTTTGTTCTTCTCCGGTTCCGTTTATGCTCTCTCGTTCTCCATCCTCCGAATCTCTAGCTCCGTTTCGCAATAATAATAATTCCAGCTTCGACGCAGGAAGTTTAACGTTTATTTTTTTTTTTTCCCTTTTTCTTTTTATTCAACATTACCGATTCAACGAGCCGTCTTTGGGACCGCGACAAAGGGCCACCAAACACAGTTTTAGCTTCGCAGAGAGACATACCATACGCATACTCGCATACTCGCTCGTTTTCACCATACGACAAACACGCACGCAACTCCGTCTCCCATGATTGCTTTTCTTCGACCGCAACGCATAGGAACGCGTGTCACGATCTCGAATATCCTTCATTTCTGCTCCTCTAGAACGCGAATTCAAAGGAAACGTATAAAATATCACTCGTGGAAAGGTCGGAGCGTAGATGAAGAATATTCGAGAGTAGATATACGCGTTCACAATTGAAGCTTTATTAAGCATCAGCATCGTTCACATTTCTCTTTCTCTCTC